TTATTATTATTTTTTTTTTAAATCAAAACAGGCTTAATGAGGTTAAGGTGGTACTCGTGGGATGTTCCTCTTTTCCATCAATAATTGGTGTTTGCAGCACCTAGTTTATTTCGATTTAGGGCATCAATGATAGGTTGAATCTAGTGGAAGCCAAACTTTACACGTCTAAGAAAAGGAGTTCTTTTTTTTTTTAACTATGGAAATGAAGCATGTTGGTATCCCCACGTCTTCTTCACAGAAATCAAACGCTTTTGAGTGGAATCCAACTCCTACTTCAACAATGGCTTTCTTCTTCATCTTAGTGGGTTCTCGCTTTCACTACCTAACCCCCTCAGCAAAATATAAACCATTATTCCACGTCTCGTATGATTAGACAGACTTAACATATTTAAGGAAAAAATATCTTAATCTTGTTCATTTAATGGTCTGAGAATACCCATTTCAGTTTGAAAAGTTGATCAAACCCCCAAATTTTCCTTCAAATTATAGGATTTAGGAAGTTCCCAATACTGTCTAATATAGCGTATCGATAGTTAAAGTAGGCATCGAATCCATTAACAAATAACTTTAAGATACTCATTTCATCTTTTGAGGTGGGCTCTTCCAAGTGACCAATAGTGTAGACGTGTTCTTCTGTTCGATAGCAATGCCCTCGATCCACCCATTAAGGATCTAATATATCAATTTTTCCAAGATCTCTTCTTCATTTTATATGTAGTTCCTAGGATCACTTGTCCACTAGCTAGTTTATGTTTAAAAAATGTTTATAAACAATTCCCAACTTATTATGTTAAGAAAAATTTCACTTATAAGTATTATATTGTCGAACCAGTTGATAGAAAAAATTAAACTATATTGATGTATATTATTTAAATAGTTTTCAACACGCCCTTTCATGTATATGTTAAGTTGGTTTCGTATATACATATTAAAGCCTAACACGTGAAAAATTCAGTCAAATGGATGGCAACACACTTGACCCTAAAACTTTTACTTAATTTGTTGTCTATCGTAGACTATTCGACCTAAATAATGTCACTTTATTACACATTCGATCTTTGTCTCTCTTTGGTAGTATTATCATCTCATGTCAGTTAGTACTTGTAACATACTAGACTTTGCTATTAAAGGTCGCAGTCTAAGAATCACATAAAGACAACCTATGATAGTTTTAAAAATGTTATTTGTAATATCTTTTTTGACAATCTTAATAGACCACTCATACTTGACAACGTCACATTCATCTAATTTTAAAAATTATTTTTTAAATCAATGATTCAAATTTTGACAACGACAACGTTGTCAACTACAATTATCAACAAAAAAAATGTACAAATATGTTAATTCAAGACAGTTACCTAATATGCCTTTATGCTACCAATAATTGATCTAAGCCATGACAGAATATCTTGATTCAGTTAATTTGGAGGACAATAATGAGCATTTTTGACTTCTTTACCATACCCAAAATGCAGTCGTATTGCATATTTATAACTTGCTTTTAGTTAAGATTTCGTTGAGAAGATGGATATATATGAGCTTTGGATTCTCCAGGTTTATGTTTATAATTAATTAAATGCATAATGGATAAACACAAGATATAAAAAAATAATTAAACCTTAATTTCCTGCAAGTACGTATTAATTAATTTTTTTGGTTGAATCTTGCTGTTAATTCTGACTCCAATATGTCTTTACAACTATTAAGATGCCTTAGTTATTGTTTAAGATGGTGGAAGTATGGTTTAGAAACTTAAAAAAGATGATTATTAAGAAATTAAACAGTGTTTTACTGCATAAAGTTATCATCCTTTAATGCCTGAATGAATCAATGCATGTGCAAGTATCTCTTGTGCCAATTAATCTACACCATCCCTTCTCTTTGGAAGTGTTGCTACGTGTATATATGCATCGTATTTCTTTTGGTTCCCAAAGGAATCCCCCCTTACATTAGCTACTTAAGCCCGTGAGCTTATAAAGAAAGTTGGCCTAAAATAGCTTTCTCAAAAATAATAAAAAAAAAATTACAAGAAAAATCATGTCAAACTGACCCTGTTTAGTGCCCATTATTTCCCAAAAAAGAAAATTTTGAATAGTATTTTTAGGAGGATGTGTAATTAAAAAGAAGAGAAAAATTTTGAGTTTAAGTGTAGAATATTTTATTTAGTGAATGCGTAGTTAAAAATGATTATATAGCAAAAAGAATTTTACAAACAATGGACACCAAACATGAGCTTAATAATGTGAGGGATAGTATTATTTTGATAGCGTAATATAAAGCAAACTCGATGGAATTATGTCCATTAAGATGGAATGGCAAACATGTTTGGTATATAGGATTCGACCAAATTGAGCCATTGTTTGATCTCCATTTTTTTCAAAATATATTTTTCTCTTTCTTCTTTTCAACCACACTGAAAGAATGTGTTTCACAAAACACTATTAAAATGGTGCTATTTTTTAAAGTTGCCTTGGCCGATTATTTGGATAATGGATGGCTTACGTGGCAACCTCCAAATGACTTATTGGTTGTGGCAAAAATTGTGCTAGTTGAGAAGGGTTGTAAATCGTCTGATCAAATGGATGGCTGAGATTTATTTTTGAATTAATGGATTCATTTAATTTGCTGGACGGTTCACTGTAGCGATACTGTGATTTCTGTGGTCTCTTCAGTTTCTCCTCTCAAGTGGTTTCAATTTTTCTTCTTCTTCCATTTTTGATTAAAAATATTCTCTGTTTTTGTGATTAATCCTGAAAAATGATCCTGCAACAGTAACTCTAAACTTGGTGTGTCTATGTTATTCTACATTTAAGTCAAGATTGATTATGGTTGATTGTTGTAAAGGATTTGTGTCTTAGTTTTGTAGATCCATACGGATCAATGATCAAAACTGAGTTTTTGAGTGATTTGATGTACACTATACTCTTTTGGAAGGCAGGTTTGCACTAGTAGAACGGGCTACAGTTCCTGAGCCCCTCAGACTAAGTCGATTGGCTAAAACGGGTCAACAATCTTTGGTGTTCTTGCGTTTATTTTTTATTACATTTCTGTGATTGTGGTTTATTTCTGTTTTGACAAATTATTTCATCAAGAAATCCTTACACACATTCTTCAATAAAATAATATTACACGCAATCTAAAAAAATTTCTTTCATTTTTAATTACACATTCTCCATAATATTAGAGTAGAAGAATAGAGTTGAAATCTTGTTTGTTATTCTATACAATATTTTCTAAAACCGAGTTTCAAGAGTACCATAAAAAAATTTATTAGCATGTATCTCGTGGAGAATTGAATAGTAATATACAATATTAAGTGAATAAAAATAAACTATAATTTTAAATAGTGTATGTGGCTTCCTTCCTTATTCTTTTCCCTCGAGCCCTGTTTGATTGCTTTCTTTTTCATGGAACATGGAAATTAAAATCCATTTCCACATTTTTGCATGTTTGATTGACTAAAATTTCCATGAAGTTGATTTTCCACATTTTTTTGATTTTTGAGGAAAAGTTTTTCCCATGGGTTTGGTGGGAAAATGTTTTCTAAGCAGTTTTTTTTTTTT